CTTTATATTTGTTTAGTTCTTTTTTAATCTCTTGCTATAGTGTTTTGTAGTTTTCATTGTCGAATTCTTTTACATGTTTGGTTAGGTTTATTTCTATGTATTGTAATCTGTTAGATGTTACTGTAAATGGGATATTTCTTTTTGAAATTATTTTCAGATTTCATAATACATAGAAAACTGACTAGTTTTTTTGTGTTGATCTTCTGCCCTGCAACTTAATTGAATTCTTCTGTTAATTCTAGAAGCTTTCTTATGGGTTCTTTGGATTTTTCTATGTGATTGTGCCATCTGCAAATAGAATTTTACTTTTTTTTAGTTTGGATGTTTTTTTATTTCTTTTGCCTAACTTACTGCTCTAGCTAGGACTTCCAATACAATATTGAATAGAAGTAGTGATAGCAGACATCCTTTTCTCATTTATATTTTCAAGGGAATGTCTCTCAGTCTTTTTCCATTGAGTAATACTGGTGGTTTTTGGTATTTCATAGATATCCTTAGTCATGCTGAGTAACTTTCCTTTCATTCCTACCTTGTTGAGTTTTTTTGTTTTTTGTTTTTAAGTCAGGAAATAGTGTTGGAGTTCATTAAATGCCTTTTCTGTATCTGTTGGTAGGTTTTCTAATGTTGAATTATCATTGCATTCCTGGAATAAATCCTACATGTTCTTGGTATGTAGTATGCTATTTACTGCATTCTGTACACTAATATTTTGTTGAGAATTTTTACATTGGTATTAACGAAGGTTACAAATGAGTAATTTTTTGTGGTAACGTGGTCTGGCTTTGGTACCAGGGTAATTCTGGCTTCATACAAAGAGTTTGGGAGTATTCTTTTCTCATCTGTGTTTTAGAAGAGTTTGAAGTAGATTGTTGTTAGTTCTCTGAATGTTTGGTAAAATTCCCCAGTGAATCTTGTCTTGTCCAAGGCTTTTTTTTGTTTTTTTTTTTTTTTTAAGGTTTTTGATTACTGATTCAATCTTTTGTTTTGTTTTGTTATGGGTCTGTGGGATTTTCTACCCTTTTTCTGATTGTTTAGGGAAAATATGTGTTTCTAGGCACTTTTCCATTTTGTCTTTTCAAATTTATTGGAATACACCTTTTCACACTTAATTTTGTTTCATGATCCTTTTTTAAATTTCTGTTGGAGCTGCTGTAATATCTCCAATGTATCATTTTGGTCATTTGAATCCTCTCAACAAATGGATGTGTAGTAAAGGATGCATTCGCTCAGGTATGCTAATAAATTTAGAAGAAATTAATATCCATGCCCATTCCAAAGCAAAGTGATTGAACAGAATGTGGAAATTATCTAAAAATATCAATATGCAAGCAAAATTTTGCTGAAGGTAATTAGCAATGGCTGTAGCTGTATACATCAACAGGGAACTGGAGGAATTCAAGCAAGATTCAGAAAAGGCCATGGAAGAAGGGATATCATTACTGATGTCAGATGGATCTTGGTTGAAAACAGAGAATACCAGAAAGATATCTGTGTTTTATTGACTGCACAAGGTATTTGAATGTGTGGATCATAACAAATTTTGGATAACATTGCAAAGTATGAGATTTCCAGAGCACTTAATTATGCTCCTGTGTAGCCTGATCAAGAGTCAGTTGTTGAACAGGACTAGGGGGTTTTGTGTGATTTAAATCAGAAAAGGTGTGTGGCAGGTCTGTACCCTTTCACCATACATATTCAATTTGTACACTGATCAAATAATATGAAATCTAGATTATATGAAGAACAGAGATAAGGGTTAGAGGAAGACTCATTTATAGCCTGCAATATACAAATGACACAACCCTACTTGCGAAAACTGAAGACAACTTGAAGTATCGTTTACTGATGACAATAAAATTTCTTAGTACAAAGAGAAATAAACATTCTCTTCACAGAAGAAGGTTTAATTGTTAATTACAAATTTAAAAAGTCATTTCATCATTTCGCATATCAGCATATGCCATCTTTCCTCAAGTTTGGTATTACATTGTCAGTTAATGAAATAGATCTGTTCCAGAAAGGTGATTTTTAAACTTTGTAAACTTAATTGTATTTTCTTTCCCCACTGGCTTTCATTATGATAGATATAGTCTAAGAGTAAAAAGCAAATAAAAACAAAACCAAAACCAAAAAGATAATGGAATTTTCCCATGGACTTTCAGAGGCCCCTGGCATTTTTCCTTAATACCAATTAACATATAAACAGTAAGTAACATATAATATCAACATTCTTAAATTTTCATTCTATTTCTTTTCTTCTACCCCCCTTTTCAGTTATTATATCAATTTTCACAATATGTAATTGAAGCTATGAAGCTTATAGCACATTTGCAAACCAATAAAATTCAACTGAAATTACCCTGCAGTAGGTCTTTTCATTTGCCTACTACCCATGATCATGCCTTTATTTATTTTCAGTTTTTTCCCCTGTGTACTTGATCAGATGTGTGTTTTATGGTCTTTTCACTTGATGGATGCCCTTTAACATTTCTTGCAAGTCTCTCTGTTAGTTAATAAATTCCCACAACTGTTGCTTATTTAGAAATGTTTTGAGTTTGCCTTCATTGTGGAAAAATAATTTTATTGTATAAAGAATTTTTGGTTGATAGTTTTATATATAGTCCATTGATTTCTGGCCTCCAGCAATTTTCTTTTTTATACAGTAATTTATATATAACTACAAGACAAACTGCATGTGTGTATTATGGGGACATGAAATAATAATCAATTGGATTAAAGGTGATTTTTTTTTTGTATGTGAAATTTGAACTTTGTCTTAGAACTGGTAGATTGTTTAAGGATACAGTTATGTGTAGAGATAAGGTATAGGGAATATATGGTGTCTGGGAAGACTAGCCCAGAAAAATCAAATTGTAGTTAACTCTTTACTTTTCTATCATCTTATTTGGCATTTCACATTTAAGAGACCATAATCTACCATCTGACCGTTTTGAGAGTTAACAGCATATGCCTGGCAGTAATGAACACTGAGGTGCGAGATGAAATTAATGTTAAGGTTTTTTGTCAACTTGGATAGGCAATGATTAGCAGTTGCTTGGTAGTTATATAATGATGAAATCTGGTAATTATACAATGAAATTTGGTTTTTATGTAATTATGTAAACGGCAGATATGCAATGATATAATTTAGCAGTTGTGTGATGATGTATGTATCTTTCATTTTGTGGTCTTATGTGATCATCTTCCATTTTCACATAATGATGCTATTTGCATAATGACCTGATTTTTGGAAACTAATGTAACCCTGTGGAGTCCTGGTGTGGTACTGTGGGATAAAGCACTGGACCATAAGGTCTGTGTGAACCAAAAGTTTGGTGGTTCAAACTCACCAGCTGTTCCTTGGAAACCCTATATATGGTCTTTATGATTTGGAACTGACTCGAGGGCATTTAACAACAACAACAATGTGACCCTGTAGGATAAGCACTGGATTGCTAACTAGTCATCCCTTGGAAACCCAATACAGGGTCACTATGAGTCAGTACCAGCTCAAACGCAATTAACAACAACAATCATGTTGATAAGTGAGGAGTGAGTGTATTATGTTGTCACAGAGTCAGGATTTGATTCCTGCTATAAAATGAGATGACATGGCGGCAGTGTCTGACCTCCTCCAGCTTCATAAGAGGGAAGGAGAATCACTAGCCCAAAGCCAATTCCTATGAGGTAAGGCTTAGACATGCCTCCACCCTCCAACCTTCTTTGCCCTATCCTGACACCAACCATACCTCTATGGTACTCTGTTTTTCTACTGAGTTCAATAATCGATTGGAATGCCCACACAGAACTCACAAACAATACTCACAATTACTGGTTTAATAGGAACGTTGTTGTTCTTAAGTGCCATCGAGTCTATTCTGACCCATAGCGACCCTGTATAGGGTTTCCAAGGAACAGCTGGTGAGCTTGAACCACTGATCTTGCAGTTCAAATGACTTTGCAGTCCAGTGCATTAGCCCACAGTGCCATACCAGGACTCCTAATAGGAATGCTAACAGGGTATAAATCAGGATATGATAACAACTCAGGATATAGCAGTTCTTTGGTCAGAAGTGCCTCTTCCCGACCATACTGCAGGCATGCCTCGCTTTCATCCTCCACCTCTCAACCACATGACCCCTTAGACAAGTGTTGCAAAAACATTGGTAATGCCCAAAGGGCACTCTCAGCTTTACTCACTCCATAGGCCCGGATGCCTGTTTTATGCTTTGGTTCTGCTGCTGCCACTTCTGGGCCCAAAGGTTGCACTCTGCTGTTGTTGTTGTTGTTAAGTGCTGTTGAGATATTCCGACTCATAGTGACCTTGTACAGGGTTTCTGAGGAGCAGCTGGTGAGCTTGAACCACCAATCTTGAGGTTCAAACCGACTTTGCAGTCCAGCACGTTAACCAGGACTCCTGTGCTTTTCTAATGCCTCTTTTTTCTTGATGGTTGTGAGATTCCACTTTCCTGCTCTGAGATGACTCATGTTAAACCTAATGGGATGACAAAACTAAGCTTCCCCACATTACAGTTTCATACATCCTATTTTCATGATCCTACCTAGTCGTTTGGTGGGAATTACAAAGATTATGGTGGTGGTCTTATTGCTAAGTATTGTCAAGACGGTTCATACTAAATAACACAGTTATTTAGTCCAGTTCTTTATTTCATGGAGAATGTATTCTTAACCACTTTGTTGATTGTTTCTAGAATACAGTTTCCTTCCCTACTTTAAATTCTCAAAAATGTACATGTGGCATGGAGTCCTAAACTGTGAAATATCTACATTTTTCAAATCTGAATTGTTTTTTTTTATTCTCTTGAAACATTAACAAATGGATGTTTAGTATCTGGGTAACATAAGGCAAATTTATTAACTTGACAAGACATTTGGGACAGCGTAATAAAAATTGACATGCAAAGTTCAAGCAATATTAAATGTACCAGAGTGTAATTACTAAAAGTTCAATGTTGGTTATTATGATAATTTTTCATTAGTCAGGATATGTGTGAAGACGTTGAAGAAACTGGTGCACTGAAAAAAAATCATGCTTCTGTGACATCTGTGAACTATACAGAAGCTTCAGATTCTGCTTGCTTGCCTACAGAAGATGAGTCATTAAGCACTTTGAGCTTTGAAATACCTGCCGAACAAACTACAAGCAGTAATCCAGAAAGTGCCCCAGAAGGAAATTATGCCGAAGCAACAGAGGAAAAAGAAAACCATTGTAGTGATAAAACTTGTGTGCAGGCCACAAGTGAAAATGTGCCTACAGCAGAAAATACTGGAGAACAACCAAGGGAAAATATTATTACTTACTCACAAATTGTGAAAGAAGGCAGGAGGTTTAATATTGATTTGGTATCAAAGGTAAGTACCAATTTTACCCATCCTGTCATTTGTTGTTAGGTGCCATCAAGTCCTATCATAGAGCAACAATAAGTTTTAATTGATTGAAAGTAGAATCCAGACCCATAAACCCAATTATGTCTCTTTATGAAATAAATGCTCTATACTTTAAAAAATAAACTTATGGAGAGAAAGTAATCAGGAGTTTATAACTAAATTAAAATACTTGAGTATAAGGTAAGAGCACATTAAAATACTCAGTTCTGTATTATGAACATTCTTTTCTATTGGATCCATAATCTACCCTGTGGTGGTTGTTGTGGTGGTAGTGTGCCGTGGAGTCGATTCCGACTGAGCAACCCTGTATAGGGTTTCCAAGGCTATAAATCTTTACAAGAGTAGAAAGCCTCATCCTTCTCCCACGTAATGGCTGGTAGTTTCAAACTACTGACCGTGAGGTTAGCAGCCCGACTCATAACCACTACGCTACTAGAGCTCCTTTCCTAACATGTGGGCACTGTGAATTTTATCAAAAGAAAATTCTTAAAGTACCTGTTTACAAATCATGTTATTAACAGCCAGTCTGGTAAATAAATGTTGTATTTTTATTTATTCATTTTGACTTTAAACAACAGAAAGTTATTTTTCTCAAAATTCACGAGGTTAGCAGTTTCAACTGAGGGTATACCCCTAGGGTAAGGTTTGTTTTTGATTATTTCTGCTTCTAGTAGCTGCCAATCATCCTTGGAATTCTGCACTTGTTGATGCATCTTTTACTGTCATATTTTTTTCTCTTCCTTCTGTATATGTGTTTATGCTGTCTTTACATAATTCAGAAATGATTATGTTTATAATCTACCATACACTGGTATGACTTCAACTGATTAATTGATTGCTTTACAATAAATTGCATTATGGATGTTGACCAGATTACAGTACATTAGATTGCATCCACAGGTACAGGCATTAGAATTCCTGTACATATTCTGGGTGGCGCAGTTCAATCCATAACAGCCACTGTAATGCCTGGGGCAAATCCCGTGATTGGGTTTATAACTTCCACTGAAAGAGGACCTGCACTGCTATATCTGTAGCCAGCTAAGGTGTCCTTATGTTGCAAGCAAGTTATCGGTAGTCCTATGCATGGAGAGTCCCCAGTTTGATGACTAAAGATGCTCACAGTCCATGGAGGCTAACTTATGACACTTACGTAGCTCCCTAACTACCCTAAAATAAACTTGCCCTTAAAAGGAGAAGAAGTTTCCTGTTGTTACCCTACTGCAGTCTGGCATGTTTCCTATTTCTGCAGGTCAACCTTGTTGTACCTCCACCAGAGGGGAGGGTAGAGAATGCTGCATGCCAGCTTGCCCACTATTCAATTGTTACTGATGATAGAGACACTTGTTTTGCTTGTTCATGTTGCTTTAATTTTTAGTGCCTAATAAGGAGAAGTGGTTACATATAAATGATTATCCAACAGCATGCAGTAATTTGTTTGAACTAGAATTTTCAACACTTTTTATATCCAGAAGTTCCATGTGTTCAAAGCAAACTAACAAACAAAAGGAAAAAAACCCACAATTATTATCAATTAATTATATAACCATAGATTTGAAAACACCCTAAAAAGTCAACTAGGCCTCTTAACTCAGACCTTCCCTATCTGTTGTTGTTGTTAGTGCCGTCGAGTCAATTCCAACCCATAGTGGCCCTGCATAGGATTTCCAAGGCTGTATGTAAATCTTTACGGGAGCAGAAAGCCTCATCTTTCTCCCATGGAACTGCTGGTAGTTTTGAACTGCTGACCTTGAGATTATCAGCCTATTCGTAACTACTACACTACCAGAGCTCCTTTATCTGTCCCCAAAACATAACCATTTAACCCAGAAAAAGCTTAACTCTCTTTTTAGAGACAAAAATGTAGAACGGGTCTGCCACCGCCTCTGGTAAGTTACCACTCCTCCTAATTCTTATTTGTCACTCTTCAGCCTACACCTTCATTCCTTTTTAAAATTTCCTTTATGGTTTTTGTTTTTATTTTTTGACTTTTTATTGTGACATAAATGGAAATTTACAGAGCAAATTGGTTTTTCATTCAACAATTCACAGAAATTTTGTTTTGTGATATTATAGTTCCCCAAATGTAACAGCACTATTCCTACTTCCTCCCTGTATTTCTCTGTATCCATTTATCCTGCTTCCCTATCCCTTCCTGCCTTTAGAACTTTACAAGATGAGAATGAACCCCAATTGTAGTATCTACAAGAAAACAATACACAGTGTCTCTGGTCGAGGTATATGAATTGAAATGTTTTAAATATGATCGAGTACACGTTATATTTCAAGGACAGAAAATGTAGCAATAGGAACGAGAATTACCGTATACACCCTGCCTAAAAGTGTATGAAGTGAAAACTATTTTACATGTTGGCAAAAACACTGTGTATAACAAAGATGGAGAAGTCCCCAATACTTTCAAAGATTTAGAAAACAGTGTACTGTTGCTTCCTTTGCAAAACATGAAATGCAAAGCCTTTTGTTAATATAAGTTAAAGTACCATTTGAAAGGAGACAAAAGTTATTATGCATAAATTAAGATTTAAGATCGCAAGATACAAATGCGCACAAGCACCTTCAGAAAGTCTAAAGAATATTACTTACCAGTCAAAGTACGTTTTGCATTAACAAAGAACGGAAATATCCCAAAACTGTTGAGACTATAAAACCAATGTTTTCCACATACATGATTTCATATTTGCTTTACATTATTTCCAGCTACACTGAATATTACAAGGACGAGATTTGTATACTACATTCGAGAACTTGCGCTTGGTTTTCATATTAACAGAGTATATTGGGAGCGTGTCCATTATTGTAATACAATGTGAACTTAAAGTATAAAACTCTTGACTTTCTTTGCTTTGTGTGAAATTCAGAAGAAACTGCATTATTTTCTCACTCACAGAAAGTACTGAGAAATGCTTAGATTTGTTACACAAAATTTGCTTTCATATAATTTAATGTTGCTTCAATGTCACTTACCTGAATTCGAAGTCACCTACCTGAATGAAATAAACAATGTGCTCACTGTTTTCTACCACACAAAAAGCTTTGTGAACTTTTAGTAATATGTAACACAAAACTGTATTTTCAGAACAAGGTACCTCTTTTGTCATTAAGTTATGGATTGCAGAAGCTAAACACAGTTTTCACGTATTGTTTTGGAACCATCACGTCCATGTCACACAAACTAAATTTTGATATCATGTTAAACTGTTATTTTCCTGTACTTGTATAAGAGAAACATCACGCTGATTTCGGTTTCACAGAACGTTCAATATGTCTGTTCCTGTTACAAATACACACTCTACTTTCATAATGTACTAAGATCTCTTAGCTTCGTCTGCATAAGTTCTTAACAACAACAACACTTAAGTATAGTTTGTCCTGTTTAGGTACATAAAGGCTAATCAGTACTTGTTATTGTTGTTGTCAAGTGCTATTGAGTCTATTCTGACCCACAGCAACCCTGTGTATAGGGTTTCTAAGAAGTAGCTAGTAAGCTTGAACGGCCAACCTTGTGGTTCAAATTGACTTTGCAGTCCAGTGCATTAACCTAAAGAACCACAGACTTCCACAAATCAATGTGCTATGTGTAACAAGATGAAAAATCCCTGTGCTCTCACTAAAATGGTCTGTTTTTCACCTAAGCACATTAAATCACAATAGTGTTACACAGTAGGATAGCTAACATTGTGTTGCAAAACTGGAAATGATACAAACAACAGTCTGTTTCTGGTTTCCATGTTCATAATGTTAGCAGGATCTTAAAGGTTATTCACAAAGGAACTGTGAATTATTCAAACAATTCATAGTTGCTTTAAATCAAGTATATGAAAAGGGTTTCCACTGTCTCCATCGTTAGACTGGAGTATTAGAGTTAGCATTAGGGTTTTGGTTTGGGTTACTGTTTGGGTTAGGGATAGGGTTAGAGTTACTCATATAACATGTATGGAGTTCTGGTAGCGTAGTGGTTACGAGTTGGGCTGCGAACCTCAAGGTCAGTGATTCGTAACTACTAGCTGTTCCACAGGATAAAGATGAGGCTTTCTACTCCCGTAAAGATTTACAGCCTCGGAAACCCTATGCGGGGTTGTTATGAGTTGGAACCGACTCCACGGCACACCACCATATAACACGTATGTGAATCCTGCCTCATTACTATAGCAAAAGCAACCCATTTCCAAATGGGATTATGACCATAGACATAGAGGTGAGAATTTAGAATGTATTTGGGAGGGGGGGCATAATTAAAACCATAAAAAATATTCTGAATAGACCAATGTAATTTTGAAAATAATGTGTTAAAGGCTATGGTGATTAGTAGTGATGGGGAAAGAGCAGCTGGGAAGAATGCTAGTGTGGCAGGTGATGTTTGCACATTTAATGTTAGTTTAGTATGACTTCAGAGGAGACCCCTGAGCCTAAAGGATGGTAAAAGATTTCATTAGATTTGTAGGAAACAAGATTTTTAGTATAAAGATAATTGGGTATAGAAAAACAGAGCCCAAAGCCAATAAATTGGAGGGCAGTGAGAAGTTGAAATAAAAAGTAGTTATGGGATAGTGAATAACATCCAATTTTTCTCAGAACTCAGCTTTTTAATTTACATGATCTGTTAATGAAAATTCCAAGTTTAAGGTAGAGAACAATGCATGCCCTTCACAAAATCCTGATACAATCCAATATCCTTATACCCTTTTTACTTGATGCCTAATAATATGAATAATCTTTCTACTACCTTTATGTTTTCTATCTCATATTATGGTCCTATCTCATATTTTAGCACTATCTATTTTGACCCTGGTATGCTTTCTTCTTTCCTCATAATTTCAGCTATACAGCTACATTTGGAGTCCTGGTGTGGTGCTGTAGGATAAATATTGTACTGCTAGCCATAAGGTCGGCATTTCAAACCCACCAGCTGAGTCTCACTCATAAACCCTGTATAGCGTCACTATGCATTGGAACCAACTCAACAGCACTTACCAACATGCTTTCATCTTTTCTCATAATTGCAGTTACATAGTTAAGTTTAGGATGATTGCTAAACTTCTGTATCAAATTCTAACTTGCTCCTAAAGTTCAATTTGAAATCTCCAAGAGCTTACTATTTCTACATGTATTTAATCTAAAAGTCATCACTGAAAAACTAACAAGTCCAATGGTGCTTTACAGTTTGCAAAATACATGCATGTACGTGCCTTTTAAAAAGTAATTCTATAGCTCATGGTAAGTTAGTTGAATAAAATATTTTATACTATTAGACTGCTTAGACTAGTACAAAATATGATTAATGATGTAATTCTTATAGCCAATTGAAATTCATTTCTAAAAAATCCATACTCTTAATAATATTGGAACAAATACATCATGTGCTGTAATTTGTTAATTATTAAATTTTGTTTCCATTATTTTAATCAAATTGATGTATTATGTAGCCTCCTGTTAAATGCCATTGAGTCAGTTCCTCCTACTCATAGGAACCCTGTATAGGGTTTCCAAGATGTTTCATATATGGTTTTTATAGGGTTTGAACCACCAACCGTGTGGGTCAAACTAATCTTGCGATCCAGCACATTATCCTGCAGTGATTTTGTATAGGGTTTGAACCACCAACCTTGTGACTCAAACTGATCCTGTGGTCCAGCACATTATCCTGCATCGCCACATCAGGACTCTATTTAGCTTCTTTGTTGTTGTTGTTGTTAAATGCCGTTGAGTCGGGTCCGACCCATAGCGACCCTGTACAGGGTTTCCAAGGGTGTAAATCTTTACGGGAGTAGAAAGCCTCATCTTTCTCCCGCGGAGTGGCTGGTAGTTTCGAACCGCTGACCTTAAGGTTCGCAGCCCGATTCGTAACCATTGGATCACTTGTTGTTAAGTGCCATCAAGTCAGTCCAACTCATAGCAACTCTGTTTAGGGTTTCCCAGGAGTGGCTGGTGGGTTTAAACCATACCAGGATTCCAGTGGATCACTTAAATGGTGGTAGAAAAAAAAAGGACTTTGGTTTCAATATGCTCTAAGTATTTATTTTAGGTTTCAGAAACAAAATCTATCATAGTTTTCATCTGCAATATTTCAATCTTCTATGATAGCTCAACTGTATTATTTTTTAAACTATCTGAATTTTAAGGTTTATTACAACATATTAAATGAAAATTCATATAATTTTTTGATATATTAGTATTTGTAAAATTATTGTGACTATTTGAGAGATCCATGAATCTCAGATGGTAGTATTTTCAAAGTTATTTGAATTATCAATTAAAATTATAGTTATGTAGTTAAGACTCTTAGCAATAACTTAAAAAATATGGGCTGTGCCGGTTGTGTAGTGTTAAGCAGAAGATAATTAAAGAATGTGTCTTATTTAGTCTGAGTAATCAGATTAGTTTAAAAATTGAATTGTCAATTTTGTTGTGCACAATGCTGAGCTAATATGATACTTTTTAAAAATTCACTTAAGTGTTACTGATGTACAGTAAGTCCTTACTGACCTCTTGGATGCTCAGACTAATGGTATATAGACTGATTTTTAACTTCTCTTTTTCTTTGTAGTAAAGCTAATTACATTCTTGTCTTTTCCTTTCTTATTGTATGTGTAACATTTACATTTTAACATTGCTCAAGTTAGATATTTAAAAGTATCTTGATAAATGAACTACACAAATGTTGCAGTGTCAGTATGGTTAACTTTTAAAAACATGCTAGAAATGATTGGGTTTTTTTTTTTTTTTATATTAGTTATGGGAAATGTTAAAAGATTAAATCAAATTTTCTTATGCAAGTTGGCAATAATTACCACCCTCATTTCTTAAAAGATCTATAGCTCATACAAATCTAGGCATACAGATTACAAAAAGACCTTAGAATTTAAATGCCTCAGTGGAAATGTATTACAAATATTTTTCTTTTTGTGTGGGAGTGGGATCTAACAAGGCTATATTTCTTTATATTTTTCTTAATAACCACCTGGCCTTATCCAGCCTACATTCCTTTATCTAAAACCCTTGGGGCCCAATGTGCTTTGTAATTCAGATTATGTATTATGTAACATTTTCAGCAGGGCTGAGGAAGCACTCTGTTATCAGACAAATTAATATTTCTGTGGTGAAATAGTGAATATTCATATTAAATGGAATAACCAAAGACAGAAGAACCTCTCATCAGTTTTGGTTAGGTTTTGATGCCAGGTAAGTAGTGAAAAAAACTTTAGATTCCAGAGCTTTTTAGATACTGAGTAATCAGATTTCAGATAATCAAAGTATTAACCTATAATCTATTTTATTATGTCTTATAGCTATATTTATAGCTATAATAAATAATTTAAAATATGATTATATATATAGTCAGCATTTTTCCTCTATTTTACCTTTTACTTCACCCTTTGTTTATACAGCTGCTGTACTCTCGAGGTTTGCTAATTGATCTTCTAATCAAATCAAATATTAGTCGGTATGCAGAGTTCAAAAATATTACCAGGATTCTTTCATTTCGAGAAGGAAGAGTGGAACAGGTATTGTAACTGGGTATGAGCTTAAGCTATTTTGGTTCAAGTAAATGAGATTATTGTTTTCCTGGTAAAACATTCAATTCCATCCTGGTTGGTGATTTACAAATATAAATGGTAAGAAATTGCTCAAACAGAAACTGTCCATTAATTAAAATTTTTTTTGTTGTTGTTGTTAAGTGCCGCCTAGTCGATTCCGACCCATAGCGACGCTGTATAGGGTTTCCGAGGAGCAGCTGGTGAGCTTGAACTGCCGACCTTGCAGTTCAAATGGCTTTTCAGTCTGGCACATTAACCCACAGCTCAATTACTATTGTTAAATTTTCTCATGAATTATTCAGCAGCTTGATTTTGGTATTGAAAAAGTATCTATTTCATGGAATATTGCCTGACTTGAGTTTGTTTCCTTATTTGATGGAGGGCACATGCCATTGGCCTTTTAATGACAAGAGGAGCAACTTGGCAGAATTAAGTGTAAAAGTTTAATTAGCTCTGAAGTCAACAGAGATGCCATTAGAACTGATTGAAGGTAACATGAAACGGTCTGACTAGTGTGGAAGTGGTAATCCTGTTATACTTTAAGGTGGGGTGGGGAACCTTTTTTTCTCCTAAGGGCCATTTGGATATTTGCAATATCATTCGAGGGCCGTACAAAATTATCAACTTAAAAATTAACCTGCTAACATAAAAACCAAACCCAATCCACTGCTGTTGAGTTGATTCTAACTCACAATGACCCTACAGGACAGAGTAGAACTATTCATAGAGTTTCTATAGCTATAAATCTTTACAAAATCAGAAAATCAAAGACAAATGAAAACAATCAGTTTAGTACACTAAGAGGTCACTCAAACCTCAGCCCCCATGACCCTGTGACAGAGGAACTATATGGTTACTGGTTGCTACTCTGAAAGGGATCACATTGGGATATCCTGGATAGATTGGGAGAAAAACGTGGGGCGTAACTCAAACTCATAAAAAAGACTAGGCTTTCTGGTCAGATAGCGACAGTTGGAACCCTTGAGACTATGGCATAAGGAAGGGGTAGGAAAGAATGAGGAATAAAAACAGGAAACACAGGGAGGGAGTGAAATAAATGGTATTATACTATTGTTGCTGCTGTTGTTGTTAAGTGCTGTCAAGTCAATTCCGACCTATACATAGCGCACACACTCTGGGGAATATTAATACTGATATTATAAATGTATATGAACTGTTAAGTGAAAAACTGATTTGCTCTGTAAACCTTCACCCTATTCACAATTTAAAAAAAAATTAACCTGCTAAATTTGGTCAAACATTTAGTTAACTCATCTCTAATATGATGGCTGGAACTGCAGTTTGCCTTGGCAGGGCCAGACCATATGATTTTGCCAGCCTTATTTGGCCTGCAGGCTGGACATTCCCCACCCTTGCTTTAAGGCAAAACATGTCATTTAGAAGACTTGTATTACTAGGAAGCAGTTTTTTAAACTAATAAATCTAATTTTTCAGGTTCCTTGTTCCAGAGCAGATGTCTTTAATAGCAAACAACTTACTATGGTAGAAAAGCGAATGCTAATGAAGTTTCTTACATTTTGTATGGAGTATGAGGAACATCCTGAAGAATATAAAGGTAATACTATTTCACTAAACAGTGTTCACCAACTCTTTCTGCTTTATTATTATTATTTTTCATATTACTTTGATTTGGTGAGCCACTTATTACTGTTTTAAAATATATTCTAACTGTGTGCTCTCCAATACATTAGCCACATGTAGCTATTTCAATTTAATTTAATAATCTCCTTAGCCATACTAGCACACTCCAGGTGCTCAATAGCCAATCATGGCTAGTGACTACTGTATTTAATAGCACAGATATAGAACATTGTCATCATCACAGAAATGTTTTGCTAAATGTTAATTTTTATTCTTGCCAGTTAAACTGGTTCTTCATAGGCAGTTTTCCCTTTTCATTATTCTATTATTTTTCTTATTAATATTCATAAAAATGTTTATTCATCTTTCTAGGATTAATTTGGGTTGAAATCTTGAACTATTCATTTTGCTTGATAAAAAACAAAAGAGGCTAAATGGTGTATTGGAAAAAAATTTAGAAGAGGAGTGGTGTCAGTTCTTGGCTTTGATTCATCTCACTCTGCAATATGGGGCTATTCCATTGCATTTTGATGAAAATTTAATACCCCACTTGAGTATCAGAGCTCTGTACTTTTAAGTGCATTGGATTTGAAAAGTTTTCCAAAATTGAAGTAATACTGTTCACTATTTAAGGAGCACTGGTGGTGCTGTGGGTTAGGCATTGGATTGCTAACCGTGAGGTCAGAGGTTCAAACCTAACAGCTGCTCTTCAGGAGACAGATGAGGCTGAATGCTTCTGTAAAGATTTGCAGTCCTAGAAATCTTATATAGGGTCACTGAGAGTTGGAATTGACTTGATTGTTGTAGGCTTACTGACAGTTTATAAAGTTGTAATAAGAAATACAACAGTATTTGTTAACAAAGTAGAATAATAACAATCTGGTTCTTGCACTTAAAGCTGAAAGGTCACTGTTAGTCTCCATCAAGTCATTCCTATGTATGGTGACCCCATGTTTGTAGAATAGAACTGATCTATAGGGTTTTCAAGGCTGCGTACTTTCAGAAACAATTGCCAGACTTTTAAAACATTTCTGGATGTGTTCTCACCACCAGGCTTTTGCTAGTAGTTGAGTACTTAACTGCTTGTGCCACCCAAGAACTCCCCTTCAAGTCTACCAGGTACTTTCAAATTATTCTCCAAGTGCCTATATAAACTTAAATTCTTTCAGTAATTTTTCTAATTATTATTTACTTACGTACTTTATTTCCATAATTTTTTGTTTTGTCATGGAATTGTATTTGTGGCCCTGTGGGTTAATGCACTAGACTGCAAAGTCGGCTTGAACGGCAAGGTCAGTAGTTCAGGTTCATCAACCACTCCTCAGAAACCATATACAGCGTCACTATGGGTCAGAACGGACTCGAAGGCCCATAACAACAATAGTCCAGTTATTAATTTAAAGGAATGTTTTATGGTATGGTTGATGATTAGTAAGACTGTTTGTATATGTCTCACAGAAATTAATTTTTAGGTTGTAACCATTGTTCTTCGTTTTAGTAAGAAATATATTTTCTTTAGTATTACTCTACTGTTGTTTTCACAAAGGAATTTCCATTTTGTCGTATTAATATTTTCAAGTGTAACTTTTGATATTGTTAGTACCGTTTCAATGATAATAAAGTAATATTGTCTACCATAGAAACCCAGTGAGTTATTTAATGTTCTTCTCATATTTTCATAAAATATTAGACATAGTTAACATCATTTTAAGCTTAAATCTTTCAGCTAGGATAGTGAGATTGTTTATAGTTATTTTTTTGCTTTGAGTTTTTAAATTTTCACACAAAAAATCTTTCTGAAAGTAATACTATTACCACCCATATACTTTCTGAAAGTGATTTAAATGAACATGATTTCATTTTTTGTGCTGTGATTTTAAATGAATTTCTGATTTTAATTGATACGTTTCCATCCTTCTTTCCTTAGGTTTTGAGGAGATTACATTTTCTGAATATTTAAAAACTCAAAAATTAACCCCTAACCTCCAATATTTTGTCCTGCATTCAATTGCAATGACATCAGAGGCAACCAGCACTACCCTAGATGGTCTCAAAGCAACCAAAAATTTTCTTCATTGTCTTGGGCGGTATGGCAACACTCCATTTTTGTTTCCTTTATATGGCCAAGGAGAACTTCCCCAGTGTTTCTGCAGGTAAGTTTGGCATTGGTTCTCTTGTCTCTTTTAGCAGTGATACTTTCATGTTGTTGTTAGGTGCCATTGAGTGGGTACTGACTCATAGCGACCTTGTGCAGAGCAGACGAAACACTGCCCAATCCTAGGCCAACCTCACTACTGTTGCCACATGTTGTTGTGTTAAGTGCCATCGAGTTGGTTTCGACCCGTTGCGACCCTGTACAGGGTTTCCGAGGCTGTAAATCTTTACGGGACAGAAAGCCTCCTCTTTCTCCTGCGGAGCAGCTGGTAGTTTTGAACTGCTGACCTTGTGGTTTGCAGCCCGGTTCATAACCACTACGCTACCAGTTGACATAAGAGGTGAAAATTAGAAAGTAACAAGTGATACCTAGTCAAGATTTGTTACATTAAGTATGTATTTGTTGTTGTTGTTTTTTAAAATTACTTTATCTACCTGCCTACCTTCTTGATTACTTACTTAAATAATATATTTAGTGTTATCTTTTTATAATCTTTATAAAAATAGCCATATAATAAATTCCTTTTTTCATTTAATACCGTGTTTCAAAGAGTTATCTTAGTTCATTATGGTAGTTCATTTATTTTCACTGTCAAGTAATACTCTATTATGGATAAATGACAGTTTATTTTTCTATGGATGGACACTTAGGATGTTTCCAGTTTTTTCCTTTTATGAGTAACTTTGTACATGTTTCGGAATATGTATGTTCAAGAGTTTTTCTAGGATACATATTTAGGAGTGGAAATTCTGAGTGATGGGATATATAGATGTTCAACAACTTTATGAGATAGTATCCAATTATTTCTCCATAGAGTTGTCCCAATTTTTAGCCCATCAGTAATACATAACAGTTATCATAACTCTACTTCTTTGCCAACATTTGGTATTATTTTGTTAATCTAACTCATACAAAACAGTATGTCATTTTTTATTTCCCTGATTTTGTTTTGAGGTTTAACATCTTATATTTTTAATAGTCATTTGTGTTTCCCATTCTGGAAACTGTCTGCTCATATTATTTGCCCATTTTCCTGTTGGTCTGTTGTCATTTTTTTACTGATTTGTAGAATTTGCTTTTATGAATACTAATCTTTTCTTTTCTTTTTTTTAATCCTTTTTTGTGTTTGTTCTTCTATCTTAGTGGTATTGAGAGACTTGTCTTCCAGTTCACTGGTTCTGCCTTCCATCTCGTCTATTCTACTTCTTTGCCCTTTCAGAGTATTGTCTATTTCAGATATTCTGTTATTGATCGTTTGGACCTCTTTATGTAGGTTTTAAATTGTTTCCAGTGCTGTATCTATCTTATTGGATTGCTCCTGTAGCACTTTCCTGACTTCTTCCTTATTTTCTCAACTCCATTGTAAAGTGTTTTGAAACATTTTATAATCATTTTTCTGTATTCCTTCTCAGGCATTTCCAAGGCCTGCCTTCCTTCCAGAATGGAATCCATGTGTAACTCTTAAGTCATTTGTCCCCAACATTTCACTTGTTTCTGGACATGTGCTGATATGGTCATCTGCTTTTGCTTCTTGGACCTGTTTAGTGTTTATCTGTGGCCTTAATACTTAATTGAGTATGTGTTTTGGTATTTTTTATGCTTTCTGATTGCTTCCAGGGAGATGTGATCAAGATGTGGGTTTCCCTTTTCACTCTTCTTATTGCTTAACTCAGAGTAACTTTCACAGCTGTTATCTGTTTCCCTGGTATATGGCAGTTGGTATTGGTTCTTGCGTGGGTTTTGGTGTTTTATAGAGTGTGATTGTAGCTTGGCTATTGGCAGCAGTTGCTGACTCTTCTTGTGCAATATATGGAGAGAAACAGACCTACAAAGGTAGAAGGGGAGCATATAACAACAAAACAGCAACAGCGGGAAAAAAAAAGAAAAAACAAAACAAAAACAGCAACAACAAAAACTAGACTGAATATTGCAGTCTGTAATCACAGAAAAGGGAAAGGAGGTAAAAAAAAAAAAAATTATGTAGCCTAATATGAGTATGACTTTAATGTCCTCTCTTCATCTTCTTGCTTTCAAAGCTGCCTGAGAGATTTCAAGTGCCAGTGTTGGTTGTTATGCTATACCTCAGGCTTTAATTTACTTTTCAGCCTGTTTTGTTTTTAAACTCTCTTTCCCTCTCCACAGCCCTGTCCTGCCTTTTCCCGTATTAAAAAACAAATCAAAAGACTAACAAGAAAAAACCTTCAGGGCCTGCTCTTGGGCTGAGTATCTGTGTGCATGCGTGGCAAAATAACCCACTAGTGGTAAGGGTGGGGGTGTCCACTCGCTCAGGCTCCCCCTCTAGTCACCAGAACAGAGGTGGGCAAACAGTGGGTGTGCCAATGACCAGATACCAAAAAAAAAACCCATATAAAATCAGAACAAAACAAAACTGACAAAGTATATTGTCCACCTTTGCTCCAAGGTTCCTGTGGAGTTTTCCCCTGGTGTTTCTGCTCCCCCGTTTGGTCTTGCTGTTTGGTCTCGTCTTAGATGTCGGCTCAGGGCTTCCGAGCCCAGCCTGGCAGATTCAAAAGTACGTGGTTTTTTTTACTTCAGCTTCAAGTTCCACAATCTATAAGCCTTCATACCTTCAAAATATTCCTATCTCTGTGGTTCTGAGTTTTGGAGCTCAGCCCTGGATCTGCTTTGCCTGGTATTCTGTGGTATTGCTGATGGTGAACTTCACTGCACCTCCACCCCAGCTGCCATCAGGCCCCCACTAATCTTTTCTTAGTTATCTGTGTTATATATATCTTCTCCTGTTTATCAAAAACTTTTTATAGTGTTTAAAAAAAAACTTTTTATAGTGACTTGAGTGAAGGTTTACAGAGCACATCATCAGTTTTGCATTCAACAAATCGTATACTTTGCTTCATTACAATGATTGTGATTCCCTTCATGTATGATTAGTTAACAGTATTTACTTCTATGCACTTTAGATCTTGCATTCCTCCCTGTTTCTCCTGCTTTCCTCTGCCAACCTCATTCTTGTTCTGTATTGCCTTCTAGCCAGTGTTTTAACGCCCCCCTCCCCATTCCATAACCATCATAGAATGTTTCTTTTATCAAGAGAACCTTTTCTTAACTTCTTATAATAGTTTTTGTTTTTGTTCCGTGCCATCGAGTTGGTTCTGAGTCATAGCGACCCTGTGTAGGGTTTCCGAGATGCAGCTGGTGGATTTGACTGCTGACCTTTTGTTTCACAGTTCAGTGCTGAATCTACAGTGACACATTGGTCTCATACAATATTTGTCCTTTTGTGATTGACTAATTTCACTCAGCATAATGTTCATCCATGTGGTGAAGTGTTTTGCAGATTCATCAGTATTCTTCAACATTGCATAGTATTCCTCTGTTATCTATCAAAGTTTAACAATAATGTTTACTAAATTTTTCTGATTTTCCTTTTTTTTTGATGTGCAGGTGTATTAACGTTTTTTGAAGTTTCCCTATAATTTACTAATTTCCTCCCCCATTTAAAACTGTCTGTTTTGTCTTACAATCTACTTTACTTCCTCACCATTTGGAAGCTCTGTATCTATACGATATCCTCTTCTTGCTTTGTAGTTGACGTCATTATAATTTGATATTTCTGGTTCCCTGTTTTCAGTCTTGTAGGTTTGTTTTACTTTAAATACTAAAAGAGAGGTGACCCAATGGAATGCGGAAATCATCAGATGATATCTTTGATATCCCATGTGAGTAAAGTTTTACTAAAAGTAATACAGAAATGGCTATAAGTATACATTGACAAAGAACTTCCAGAGGTTCAAGCAGGATTCAGAAGAGGCCGTGGAATGAGAGATACCATTACTGATGTCCGATGGATCTTGGGTGAAAGCAGAGGATATCAGAAAGATGTTTACCTGTGCTTTATTGACTACACAAAGGCTTTTGATTGTGTGGATCTTGACAAGCTATGGACACTTGATTGTGCTCATAAGGAATCTGTACATGGACCAAGAAACAGTTGTTCAAATAGAACTTGGGAACACTGAATGGTTTAAAATTAAGAAAGGTGTGCAACAGGATTGTATTCTTTCACCATACTTATTCAACCTGCATGCTGAGCAAATAATCTGAGAAGCTGGGTGTTGTTTTTTTTTAATTATTTAATTTAAGGTTTTTATTATGGCTTAAGTGAAAGTTTACAGGGCACATCATCAGTTTCACATTCAACAATTCATATAACTTGTTTCATTACATTGATTATAATCTCCTCCATATACCATCAGTTAAAAGTATTTCTCTATATCCACTTTAGCTTTTTAAAAAACACGCAAACAAAAAAACCCACTCAGGCATATATAATAATTTACATCTCCAAAGGGCACATTCTGCAAGTCTGCTCCTGGCCACCAGTTCTTAGTCCTTCTCTTCTTAGTTGATGAATCTAGAGTCCTCAGCCGCACCCCCTCTCCGTGCCCCCATCTCTACCTCTATCTCTGGCGCTGCTGCTTCTCTGGATAAGGTCCCGCATTCGCTTGTGCGTTCCTCTCTTGATGGTCCTAGGGTCCTCCATTCCTGGACTATAAGATTTACCACTCACCTTTTTTTGTTACAAAGCTTCTACCTTTACAGTTGTGACAGTCGCGATTAGTCATGATAACAATTATTCACTATTGAATCTTATGAATCTTATCTCCATCTCCTTTCTCCAGAAACATCTAGACAAGATAATAGGTATTCAGTGGGGACTCTTTCTTTTCCCCCACCCTCTTAAACTAAGCTCCCTCTTGAAACCTTGTAAGCCAGTCACTTCGTGCCTTTATTGCCCCTTTATTTTCAGTAGCCAATGTCTAAGGTGCCCGTCCCTATCTACCCTGTGCACAGAGCGGATAGCATTGATACTTGATTTGAAGACTCTTTCCCTCTCTATTGGTTTTTAGAATAACTACCGCTCTGAGTATAGGTCAAGTTCATCAAGATGTATCTTCTGTCACTGTAGCTGTTCCAGTTTGCTTGTCCTTTCTAATGGGAATGTCTCACCTCACAAGG